GTACCTGTACCCAAAAAAAAAAAGAACAAGTATTCCGCAAGAAAGTAAGGAAACAATCAGACTTAGGTTTCGTTTGAGGCAGCATTCTTATTGCTTCTTAAAGCAGCTTTCTAGTACAAAAATTTATTTTTTTCTACTAGAAATCTGCCTTAAGAAGCAGTAAGCAAGCCATCCCAAACGAAGCCTTAATCTTGGAAAAGAAAAAATAGCAAGAGGTGGCGTGGAGGGTTTCTGTTTGCTGAAATTGGTGTTGCTTAGACTGTTGAAATGCTGGTTGGAGTGCTTGCAGTAGAAGGGAAATCTTGAAAGGTGTAGCTTGCTCAGGCAGGATGTCGGCTGCTATGAACTACTTTTTTGCTGCAGATCACAAAGGGATTGCAGCTGATAGTAACTGTAGGAAGAAGAGCAAGAAGTGTTGGCCGGTGAGAAAAAAATGTGGCTGTGAGGAGGAACGACCTTTATTTTCCTGTTCTTTAGTATTCTAATCCATTCTTCCCATTTTTTCTGAATGAGAGTGGAATCCAATTGAATAACTTGCTGCCAAACAGTCCTATCGCCGCATTGGCAATATTGCATGATGAATGAGTTAAGTCGCCTATCTTGCTTAACATTAAAGTTAAAAAAATCAGGAGTAAATATTGCGACTTGTGACTTGCACTATGGTCATGTATATAGTATTAAGGCTTCGTTTGGAACAGCTTTCTTAATGCTTAAAGCAAATTTCTAGCATAAAAATTTAAAAGCTGCTTAAAGAAGCAGTAAACCGTCCCAAACGAAGCCTAAAGCTCAACGTTAAATGAAGAAATCAGGATACTCTCTTAGCAATGATATTTTCATCAGTTCTAGGATTATAGTTCGTGTTAAGACTAATTAGGTTGACGGACAACCTTCACACCAACTGGTGCAAGGTGATTGGCCAATATGGGGAGAAACTGGTCTACTAGTGCTCGAGAATCTTCTCTCTTAGACAGTTTTTTTGTTTGTCATTGCTGAAGAAGCTATCTCTTCTTAACCATATATTTGTCTTTAATGATCCAAATCTTTGAAAGAATATAATATCCACATTAAGATCGACTGTCATCAATATTATGATCTTGGAATTGAACTTCAATGTGAAACCCTTTTAGATAATTATTTTATGAGAATTGAAAGCACCATCACTTTACATGCTGTCCTTGATGAGTACCCTAAAAATACCACACATGCTATCCAGTTGATTGTGATGAAATTGAAGTTCACATTTGATGCGATCATTGATAGACCTCTATACTTTATCTTTGGCAATATTGCATGTCTTGCTTGAATCTTTAGTTCCATGCATCATTAGATACTGTAGTGTTTAAGCATAAATATCTAGTTGCTCACTCATTCTATCTTTAGTAATCTTAATCTCTCTCAATAATGGCTTCCGACGCTAATGGCGCTGATATTCAGAACAAGAAGGCACTTGAACTTACTTCCCCTCTTAAAGAGGCTCCTTTCTCAGTAAATCTTTCTATGATCATTAGAGTTAGGCTCCTCAACCTTTAAGTGCAGCACTTTTTAGTTTTACCCTTTCCAAGCTCATCATGATGATCCTGATAAGCCTTGCTAGCTTGAGTCTTTTCTCAATGTTGTAGTATGAATAACAGCTTGAGTTGGTCTTTTTTATTTTCTAGAATGTTTCTTCAATGTTTCATGAAATTTTCTCTCATACTTGTAGCTTTATGTTAGGAAATACTTGATTATTTCAAATAAATCGTAACAAGAGGTATGAAAAATAACAAACAATTCATAAAATCAGATGGGAAAATACACCAAAGCAGTAGCATTTATTGTAGGAATCAAATCAAAAGAAGAACTAAAACAAGATACAATTGATCCTCAATTCAAGAGGAGAATCGTTCTCTCCCAATCCTTAGACGAATTTAGGGCCCAAGACACAAACACAATAACTCCTAAAGCAGCCACAAAACAAAGCATAACCCTAACTCTAATTCCCCCCCCCCCCCCATTGATAGACCTCTATACTTTATCTTTGGCGATATTGCATGTCTTACTTGAATCTTTAGTTCCATGCATCCTTGGATACTGGAGTGTTCAAGCATATAAATATCAAGTTATCCACTCATTCTATCTTTACTTATCTTAATCTCTTTCAATAATGGCCACCGACGTTAATGGCGCTTATATTCAGAAGAAGAAGGCAATTGAGGCAATTGTACGTGCTTCCCCTCTTAAAGAAAATATTATTGTCCGGATAGCGGTACCACTGTCGGTACCGAGTGGCATCAAGCGCTGTACCGAGCGGTACCACTGTCGGTACCGAGCGGTACCGAGTGCGGTATCGAGTTCGGTACCGAGCGCCTAGTGATGTGGCATATTTTTATTGGTCTCTGGACATGTTTGGTATCCGGACACAATAATCTCTCCTCTTAAGGAGGCTCCTTTCTGAGTAAATCTTTCTATGGTCATTAGAGTTAGGCTCCTCAACCTTTAAGTGCAGCACTTTAAGCTAACCCTTTCCAAGCTCATCATGATGATCCTGATAAGCCTTGCTAGCTTTTGTCTTTTCTCAATGTTGTAGTATGAAGAACAACTTGAGTGGGTATTTTTTATTTTCTAGAATGTTTCTTCAATGTTTCATGAACTTGTCTCTCGTACTTGTAGTTTTCTGTTAGGAAATACTTGATTATTTCAAGTAAACTATAACAAGAGGTATGAAAAACAACAAACAATTCATAAAATCTGATGGAAAAATACATCAAAACAGTAGTATTTATTGTAGGTATCAAATCAACAGAAGAACTAAAGCAAGATACAATTGATCCTCAATTCGAGAGGAGGATTGTTGTCTTCCAATCCCAGACAAATCTAAGGCGCAAGACACAAGCACAAGAACTCCTAAAGCAGCCACAAAACAAAGCCCCTAATTTTAATTCCTCCCTCATACTTAAAACAACAATTAATCATTAAAGCCAAAATACAAATATTAAAGTAATTAATATTCTAATTTTCTGTTAAGATTTCAATTAAGATTTGAATTTCAAAATTTATCTTATACGTTCCAAATGAGAAAAAAATTTGTGTTTATTTATTTAATTTGAGGATGCTATATTTGTTCTTACCCATTATTATACTAATATATGTTGTGTTCCTTGATTAAAATTTATCCATAATCCCACCCTTAGGCTATGATCGAACAATAAACATGGATCAATGTAAACTATACTGTCTTTGATTAACAAACTTATATTTCTAATTGTAGGCTTAGGCTTCATTTGGGGCGGCTTTTTTAATGCTTTCTAAAACAATTTCTTATTACATAAATTTGAAGTTCAAGAAATTTTCTGTATTAGAAAGCTGCTTTAAAAAACAGTAAAAAAAGTCATTTCAAATAAAGCCTTGTTTGAAATAATTTTCTTATTGTTTTCTAAATCAGTTTTGCTTTAAATTTTTTTTAACTAAAAGCTGCTTTAGAAAACATTAAGAAAGCCACCCTCAAAGGAAGCTTTAATTACATCAATCTAAAAGGTTTGAAAAATAAAAAAAAATTGAAGGTCTAATTAATAAGAATAATTATGAAGAAGATTATAAATATAATTTAGAATTGTTAGAAAATGATGATGTTATGCTAAAATACTTCTCTTCTTGAGAACGAATATTCTCTGTAAATAACTTATGAGATAAATGTATGAGGTGGACATAAAAAGTTTGAGAAGTATAAGACTTTTTGGCTCCATTCATGTGCTTTAAGATTTGTTCATCACACAAAAAAATTATAATTATGCCTCATGAGATGGAAAATTTTGGAGATCTCTAAAAGGCTATGATCTTGATTAAATTTTTATTTGACATAAATCTCAAATCCCATGGAGTGAATTAATTCATTTTTTTTATTTTTTATATTCTCAAAAAAATAAATAGAATTGATGGACATAATCTCATATCTGTCTAAATTAGATTCAACTGCTCAAATAGTGAACTTATTCGAGTTTTACGAGTCAAAGATGATTGAAATGGATTGAAATATAACATTTGATAGGCAACTAATTAGCGGTACTTATCCTCTACATAATCTAAGACTTCGTTTGGGACAGCTTCTTGCTACTTCTTAAAACAGTTTTTTAGTTAAAAATAATTAATTTTTATGCTAGAAAGCTGCTTTAAGAAGCAGAAAGAAAGCCGTCCCAAACGAAAGCAAAGTATTAATCCTATGAGGCTCTCGAAGCAAGGGAGATGACCTTTACAATTTTCTTAATATAATGTAGCGCATTATATAGCGTTGACCTTGATTTATACCTATAAAAAAAGAAGGTTAACAGCTCGTAATCAATTATTATTAGAAGCCTAAGTATATGCCACATGCCATTTTTATTAATTAACTCATAGGATATTCATTCATAAAAAATTAAGATATCCATTATATAGAGTAAGAACTAGTCAAATGTACATGATAAATGAATGAAATCATATGCCAATTTTAAAATATATTCTACAATAAAAATTATATTATAAGAATTTCATTTATTTTGACTATAAATATGAATTTTTTGAGATATATATATTTTTACTTAGTTCCTTTTTTTTCGTGCAAATAAAATGGAGTGAACCTATAAAACCTAACAAAAACTCTTAAAATTATTAATAGCGCTGATTTGTTAATAAAAATTATCTTTTAATGTTGAAAATTAAAGTTTTTTCGTGGTAGAACTCATAGGAATATAAAAGTTAATATTGCCAAATAAAATTTAAATGAAGTTTTTTAAGCTATAAATTTTTTTAATGTTGTTCAATAAACTAATAAAACTATCTATTTTCAAATAATTCTCTCTAATTAATTCCCCTTCACATTACATAAAATTTACTTATAATTAAATAAATATAAATATTATTTTAAAATAATAATAGTAATTATAAATATATTATTCAATTTAGAATAAAAATAAATAATTTTCTTCAATAATCAATGGCCATGAGTAATTTCACAAGCATATAGTGTGAACTTTAAATGTTAGTACTTTACGACAGCGCTGGAAGGTTATCAGCGAAGGGTCCGGGCCGATCCTGTTGAATTTGAAGGAGAGGTAGGAATCGGATGATGGAGGTTAGAAACGAGGAAAACGCCTCCGCTGCGCCCGCCTTTTCAAAGCAGACGAGGCCGGCGCCGGCCTCCGTCGACTCCGCCGCGGTCTCCCAAAGGTTCGGATTTGCCCCAGTTCTTTCGTTTTCCCCCCAAAAAATTGTCCTTCTTCTTCTGGCTGGTCAAAGGCGGCTTCTTTCCTGCTTTAGACTCTCTTTTATCTAGGACGTGGTCGCTTGATTGATATTTTTCTTGCAGGCTTCAGAAGGAATTGATGTCGCTCATGGTACGTTGGCTTCCTCCTCGATTTACCCTTTTTTGTGATTACTTACTTCCACTGGATGCTTGAATTCCATTTTTGTGGCCAGGATATATTGTCTGGTATTTTCTATATGGCATAATTTGATCATTTGGGATCATTACGTAAATTATTTTCGATTCAGTCAGTTGTGGAACTGATTTATTATTTCGGTTCTGTTTGTGCACATTCAATTCTTGCTTCTTATCAAGGTTTTGTTTTCTTAAAATAAAGAAAGTGATTTGACTTACGTTGCTTGTCAAGGAAAGGCCCATCTTTTTTTTTTAGGTTTGATTAAGTACTCTTTGAAAAGTTTACTTCAATCCCAGATTGCAGGAAATTTCTGTAAGCTGGAAGTTTATCTTGATTGCGGTTATATTCATTGCCTGTAGATGAATCATGCTTGATGGCCACTAATGGTGAAGTTTGGGAACTCATGTGAAATTCAATTCCTTTCAGTAGCATCGTTGGATATTTAGCTTTCAAATATTTTTATAAAAAATAAAAGAGGTTAGTGCCTGGCACACTTGGTTATTGGACCAATAGGTCCTCAGTAGCTGGCTTGATATGGAAGTGGCGAGGCTTTAAATTAAGATTCGGTTAAGGTTTATAATATACTTCCAAGAATTAGATTTATAGCATTGTCTTTGAAGAAAGTTCTACTCAAATTATGGTATGTAGAACTTGCAATTGAATTAACCAAGTATGGAGGTCTCCTTGCAAGTCTCGACCAAGAAGGCTAGCTTGAGATTTTGTATGTAAAATGGAAAAGGTTGATATAGATCCTAAGAAATTGCTAACCTATCACCTATGACCAAGACAAACACTATTTATTACCAACTATATGATGTTTATTTCTTTTGTTGATCCTTTTCTTTTTCATTGGAATGCCTCAGTTAGTGCAAGGTGCTGTATCCATAGTTTAGAGAGGGTTAGAAGGAGTGAGAGGGACCCATTGATAAAGAGAGTTTGAAAGGAAATGGAATTTTTTACACGTCCCTTATTCATAGAAAGAGAAAGCACTTGATTCAAATTGAAAACTAGTGTTTGTCATCCTTAAAGTGAGCTAAGTGGACCTTTCTTCCCTACTTTGCAGAAGTTTCCCTTCTTTTCTCCTCTTTATAATAAAATTAAACGGTAAAAGAATTTCCTCATGAGTAATTCTACACTACCCAAATCATCTAAAAAAAATCTTGATATGTTAGCTATTAATAAAGTTGCCAACATGTTAATAAAGGTAGCCTTATCATGTTAATGCCCATTATTAACTTGTTAATAGAACTACCAACATGTTAATGGAGACTACATATATGTACCATATAAGCTGGGAACACACCTAAACTTATTTTTTGGGTGCCATGGGCTGGGCAATATAGCATTCTCCGCCCTTATTCCATGTTACCCTGGTGTGTGGCTACATTTATGGTTGTATATATATATATATATATACTATATATAATATATATATATATTTAGAGAAAGTCTGACTAATTTTTTACACCTACACCTATTAGATCCGGTTGTACAAGATTAGTTCTATGCATAGTTTAAATTTGCGCAATTTGCTCCAAAATAAGCCTCAAAGCCTAGCAATTTCTCAGGATCATGAGCGTACGCTCAGGTGGAGTGAGGTGCGCCTCACTAGTGTTATTGTGCAATTCTCTTGAGCGTGACGCCTCTAATATGGGGGCCCACTTACTTAAAAACCTCTAAATTCTTCCTTATATCCACTTTCCCGACCAAAGACTACTTCCCGGCGAAGACGTCAATCGAAGCCCAGCGATCAGACACACAGACGCCACAGACCAGCTCTCCGCGTTTCCGCCGCTCTCCCGCGGCGCGCCGTGCGTCGCGGCGAGTCTTGTTTCCTGCCGCCTCTCTACACACTTCTTCAAGTGTTCTTAGGATTTTTTTTTTTTAAAGTTTAGGGGTTTGATTTTTCAACTTATAGGAAGCTAGGGTCATAGTTCTCGGTCACCTGCTATATAGATGTCAGATACGCTGTATGTACGCCGTAACATGCTCGGTACTGGCTAGGTACATGCTGGTACCTGCTAGGTATCTTTCCATACAAAGACTTCGAACTTTAAAATAACCAGAATCTTCAAAAGTACTTCTTACAAATAAAATTTGTTTTTGCTGTTTTAGAGTTTTGAGCCTCAATTTTTTCTTCTCTGGGTGTGCAGCGAAATTGAGGTACATATAATCAAGTGCAACGAAGAGACAGAAATCGATTTTCAACACTCAGAATGAACTCCTTGTGTTATTAATGCACACACACGAGAGGGTAGAGATAGAAGTTGAGGCAACTGGGAGGATGATAACCTCTGTAGTGTGTGGATGTAGGCGTCGATAATGATGTGATTCTATAGATGTTGAGGACAAATTTGTCATTATTAGGATTGCACTAAGGATTAATGTGTGACGTTCTTGAGGGCGCCGAGTAGTCAAATGGAACACATCCACTAATACTCACACACAGTGCATCTCCTGTCGCAGCACAACAAGCAAGCTAAATGTATTCCACAACTTTAATGTGCTCTTTTATTTAAAAATTATAAACTATTTATATATTATTATATATATATATTAATTAGAGAATATTATATATAAGTATTAAAGGGCAATTAAATCAATGACAATAATCCATTTTCTTGAACAGGGGAAGAGAAAAGCGGGAGTAACATTGAAAATGATGAAGATATGATATTCATAGATATAATTGGAGAACGAAGATTACCTCTGATGACTAATTTAGTCGATGAGACACTGATTTGATTTAATATGTTCTTTCTTATATGTACTTTGGGTTTTGATAGACTTTATATGTGGTTCTGTACTTTGGGACATGATTTTATTGGCATCTGTTTTCTTACTTTTCACTAATTTCACTTTGTCATTTGATGTTTTTATTGTTGATAGAATCTTACTTTATTTACCTGCTAAACCCTTAAATTCTCATTTAATTGCGTTCATAGAGGCTTACGCCTCACAACGCGCTTAAGGCTTACGCTCGTCTCACAAGACGAAAATGCTTCGAGGCTTATTTGCAATTGTAAACCTTGGTTCTATGTTTGTAGAATTCTAAAAATAATAAGGAAAGTAGTAACAAAATGGAAGTGGTTGCTACATTTTGAATAACAATGGTGATTGTTTTTGTATATTCATGTGTGCGATGCCCATGGCATCATTACTGTAGATGTTTAAGGGTATGGGATTTTTAATGCAACTAGGATGTGATGTAGAACGATATGGGAGGGGGGGGCGCATCGGTTGGTAAGTGAGCTTGGGGGTGGGGTTTAGAGACTTGCCTTAATTAAGACACTTAAATGAGGAATATTGATTTAAATCAAAACCTATTTAAAATTCAAAATGGTTGGTTTTAAGTAATTTCCTAATATAAAAAAGTAGATTAAGGAAGAGATTTCAAGTTAAAGAAACAAATTTTATTGCTTTCCTATTGTGATTTGCTTCCCATAAGGAAACAATTAAGAAGTAATTCGAAATTTGGAGGCAAGGGAGAGGGGCCGGCCAAGCAGAAGGGGATTGGGGCCAAATTGGAAGAGAAGTGGCCTGATATGGGGCCGTTAAAGAGAGAGGGGGAATAGGGGTGTCTAGGTTCAATGTATATTAGGTTAAGAGGATGTGTCAAAATTGATTAGTTAATTGAATGAAAGAAGTTCCAAAATTAATGTAATTATGAGTGATTTGAATTCAAATTAGATTAATTTGAATTTAAAATCTTTTCAAATTAATGACAACTTAAATAAGGGAAGAGAGATTTTTGGAGGAAGTGGGGTTAGGGAAGGAGGTGGCCGGCGGGTGGGTGGAGCCTTGGTGGTTTCGGCCAAGGGGAGGAGAGAAGGGAGGGGTATGGTGTAGGCAATGGTGTGTGGAGGATGATGGGGTGAGAAGACGGCCTTGGTGGAGGGCTTTGAGGTGGTGTTTGTGAATAAGAAAAATAAAACAAAGAAAAAAAGATAGAACCGCGGTCTTGACTCTTCCGAAGCTACGGTGGTGCGTTGCCTTCACCCAAGGGACTTCAAGCCACGAGCCGGACTTCCTAGGCTAGTGGAATACGATTCCCTCTATAAGGATTCTCACTAACAAGTCTCCCAAGGAGCAAGTGCCTATAAATATTATTTTATATTAAAACTGCATCATATTCATTATTGCTAGTAAGGACTCTAATATATAGCCTCAGAACTAAAAAATGAAACATAATATTTAGATAATGCCACCTAGGGCTTACATGAAGATTAAGACCCTTATTAAAAATGATAAAATGATATATATGTAAAATATAAAAGATTACAAAATAAAATGATGTGAAACTACTAGAGTTACGTTCCAAAATTAAAGAGAATTGTTAAGTTTGCGTTTATAATTTTATGGATCATGCAAGATTGAGTAAGATGTCGAAACGTTAAGTCTTATGCTTAGGCGAAAGAGTTGCAAACAAGATTAACCAAAACGATTTCTTTCAAGCTAGGCGAAATTTAATATGCAAGAGTAAACAACAAAACCAACGTTTAGAGAGTGCTGTGGCGTGATTCACTGCAATGAAGGTATGGATTTTTGGCGGAAAGTAATATGAGATCCAGAGATGAACGAGTTCATACTGGGAAGGGCGCCGAAGAACTTCGTTCGAGGGAAAAGTTGCCGGTTGGGTTGAAGTCGTAGACGACCCGTTCGAGGCTGCCAAGGCGTGCTTTGAAACTTTCGTGTAGATCTTGCGCAGGATTGGAGCGACTGATCCAAGCTTCTTAACGTGTCTGTCTCAATTTCCTAGCGTCAACAGGTGAACGTAGAAGTGTGATGCGTCACCGTCGGCACTGAGCCAGACCCCCTCAAACTCACGGATCCGCATTCAACATTGAAGAGAATAAGAGAGGGGACCGTCCCACGTTGTCGTGGTGAGGGCTTTTCAACGTATGAGAGAAGGAGAGAGAGGGGGGGGTGGTGGCGGGATCCTCGAAGGGAGAAGATGAAGCGGCGGGTGGCAAGGAGGGAGAGTTAGGGTTGGAGAAAATATGCTTAGAAAATTATGGGAAGGGAATTTCAAATCTGAAATTTAATTTCAGTTTTGTAATTTAGGGGAAGGACTTGATTTGAGAGTTTGGAATTTCAAAAATCAATTGGAAATTAATGCCTTGATTAGGGAAATAATGGGGGAGCTTTAAGGGGGAGGCCGGCGGTTTTTTTTCTAAAGGAGAGAGGGAGATGTTAGTGGTAAAAATTCTGAAATAAATTAGATTTGAAATTTTGGAGGAATTTTATTATGGAAATTATATCTAATTTCAAATGAGGGAGTGATTTAGTGTGGCAATTAATGGGAGTGGGGGGCTTGGTGAAGCCGCGGCATAATGAGAGGGAGAGGGAAATTGGTGGAGCAATTTACACAAACGTTCAAATTGGTTGTTTGCATTGAGAAAGACTAAATATGAATTATTCGATTCGAAATTTCGAAATGATTTTAAATTGAAAACTTTCCTTGTTTGTTTCAATTTGCAGTGTTCAACCAAAATTTTTGGTTTTCATAATTCGATCAAGAAGAGTGGGAAAGGGGCCGGTGGTGGAGGTGCAAGGGACGGTGGTTGGGGAGGGGTTGCCGGCGGCCAAGGCTTGACTAGGGCCGGCGGTTGTGAAGGAGGAAGGATAGGAATGAAGGGGATAGACCACGAGCCACGGACTCTTCCAATGACTGGTGGGTGTTGCTTTTCGCCCTCACCTTGGGCTCTCGCTCTCCTCTCTAACTCTCCACAAGAAGAAAAAGAAGAAGACAAGACAATCAAAACAAATTTTCATTCATAATATTCATTAAGCTCAAAATGATACAAGAGACCACTATATATAGGTCTTGACTCAAAAAAGTGAAAAAAAAAACTAAATTGCCCTCTGGGCTACAAAGAAACATAACTCCCCACAGGGGTAAACTGGGACAACAGTAAATCAAACTAGACAATAATAAAATACATCATGTCATCTCAATCAAAAGTAGAGGCGCTGAATCGTGGCCGTCGATCTGCGGTTTCGCCGGCGATAAACATGTCGGTAGCGTTTGTCGATGTCCTCATCATAAAAATTTAAGATAACGTAGGACGATCACGACTGTCGATCTTCAGCTCCTTAGATAGGCATGAACGGTTGGATGCCCGCATCAGGATGATGTAATGAATGTTTATCGCATGAAAGAAATAAGTATTTACATATCAAAGACTACTAATTATAGGTGCAAACTTGAAAATACTTGAAAGGAACGATAAAACAATGATTGATTAAAAAAAAAGGTGAGAAATTGAAACTGCAAAAATTAGAGAGGCGATTGAAATTTCACCAGCACAATTGAAAGTGCAATTGTGACAAATTTGATCTAAAATTGGATGCCTCATAATCTATTCAATTGTGAAACTGCAAACGCACTCAGGTGTTAGCATAGTAAAAGCCCAATAGACTTTTCATATATGTAGATATGTACCGCTTGATACACCACCTAAATAGGCACATTAATCATACCTCTTCATAGCAGCGATGGGAACTGCCACTGTAACCTCCACAGCTACAGGGATTGCAAACGTTGGCAGGGAAAAAACAGAAGGCACCGTCAAAGCATCTTTCTAACAAAATCACCTGCTTCAGGAACCGATTAGACTAGGCTACAAGATAAGAACTTCTGCAGCACGTCCCAATTCTGAAGAAGCCTAAACTGCCACAGAATCATTCCTTAAGCAGCTCCAAAAATAGATAACTCCAAATCCATGAATTAAGCACTGAAACAGCTTTGAAACTGAGAACTCATTCATTTTCAAATGAACCAGTTAATCCAACAGCTATAGTTGAATAGTTTTAAAAAAAGATAATCCAGTTGTCACCTCTTCAATGCTACATGCCAAAGTCTAAATGCAGAAACTTCCCAATTATCCAATTAACATCATAAATCATCCATAGCCATTGCTGAAACATAGATTTCATCACACAATCCGTTGTGATGCACATGTGAATCATGCAAGCAACTTCTGATTTTATTGCATTTGGAGCCTCCTATATCATCATCTTTCATAGCAGCATTACTGTTTTCCTCTTCTTTCATGATGAGCCTCGAGGCGTATGCCTCAAACGCCTTTTTAAACCATGCATGATGTAAATATTATTTTATTATTTTAGTATTCCAAGAATATTTATATCTTGGCAAAAGTGCTTGCATAATTGCTATTTCAAGCTATGGAGATTGCTGGTAAAAATTATGGTGCTTTGCCCAGATGAAGTAATCACTAGTTGAGCAAGGTTACATGAGTTTGTTCTGCCCCTCAAACGGTGAAGGCTAGATTACAAGTATGGAATGCTAGTTTGACTTCATGTGGTTGTAGTCGTGAATGCTGGAGAAGTAGTGAAGGACGATGATTGTTGGACAACAACAACCAAACGATGGTGGTTCAACTATGATGGTGGGCAATGACGGTCGAGCTACAAAGGTTGGTGCCAATGATCTTCGGTGCCAATCGGCGGATAAGGCTCTAAAGTTCTTCATATCTCTAAGGTCTATTCTATTTGGGTCCCCTTGTGAAGTAGCATTTTGATAATCTTCTCTAATTTTCCCAAACACTACATCAAATGGCCTTTGTTGATTTTATTGATCATAAACCAGTTTTTAGCATTTAAGTACCTTAATGATATCATCATTAAGTGATCTTATTCTTGTTAGGTTTCAATCATTGAGATACTCGTTTTAATTATACGCACGTAATATTCAGAGATCATTTGATTATTCAATTAATATCACGAAGTTTTCCAGCTACACACTCGTTGCTTAATTTTGGTTCATTTGGACTCGAATCTAAACATTTTGCTATTGTTGGACTCATCTCATTGAAATCTTTGTTTAGGCTATACATTTGCTATCAATTTTTTTAAATCTGTGTTGGATGATCTTGAATTTAATTTTTGAAGTTTTTAATTCAAATATTAGGTCGAGATTTGTGCTTTGATCAAATGAATTTTCCAATGGTGGATAAAATTTAATTTGTATCTATCTTTTATCATTTTTATATCATCAAAACGTTGATGGACTTAGATTGTTATTTGGTGCAGCATATCTGGTTGCCATGGTAAAAACCTCGATATCGTACATGAGACTATTAATGTTTCATTTGGTTCCGGTTTTTGCCATCTTAACATTTTTGAAAATCACCATTTTGCATATTCACTTCTCTTTGATCTCATGAATATGCAGATTGACCAATCTAATAACTCATATTTATATGTGAGAGCATGATGGCTTTATGTCATACAACTAATTAAATTCACACATTAATACAGTTGTATAAGGGTCATAAATTCTAAAATTTTTCTCAGGCTCATTTCACTTATATTTTCTTGTTTTTGTACTCTTTTTGACACTAACGGTAAAAATTTTTCTGCGTGATTTTGTATAAATAATTATTGAGATCATAAATTATAGGTCTGCTGCTTAATTGATGTCTTTCAAGTGATTTAACTCTTTTTCAGGATCATCCTATGAAACAGAAGTGATTGTCTTGCTTCTGCTACTTTTCTTTTCTGGATCTGTGGTTTGTTTTCTGCTTTTAGTTATGGATGGTGATTTCGGGTGTGCGAGTCTGTTTCTCTTAGCCAGTCCTTTTTTGTAGATGAGGATTGCGAATATTAGGAGTATTCTAAATAACTGTTTTGCACTGCCTTCACCCACCATCCTAGCTAAAACTCTCTTTGATGTCTGTTTTCATAGCATCTCATTTTTTTATATCCTCATCTATCATATATTGCCCTTCCTTTGAACCACAGATGAGCGGCAACCTTGGAGTATCTGCCTTTCCTGAAAGTGAAAACATATTCTCTTGGATAGGTACAATAGATGGAGGCAAGGGAACTCCATATGAAGGTTTATCTTACAAACTTTCTTTGCGCTTCCCTCTGGAATACCCATTCAAGCCTCCTCAAGTTAAATTTGAGACCTCCTGTTTCCATCCCAATGTTGACCAGTATGGGAACATTTGTCTTGACATCCTCCAGGTATTATTGCAGGCAATTGAAATTTCAACTGTTATTAATGCTGCCACTTAAAGCTAATGCAATCTGCTTAATTCTGAAAGGACATGTGGTCTTCAGCATATGATTGCAGAACAGTGTTGTTGTCTATCCAGAGCTTATTAGGAGGTGAGCTCTCAAGCATTTGGTCCTCGGGAATGCAGAATTTTTTTTTTTAAAATCAAAGTTCCCAACTTCCTTGTTGTTTGACACAGAACCCAACAATGAAAGCCCTCTCAACAGCTATGCTGCAACGCTATGGAGCAACCAAGAAGGTATGCATGTTTTTATTGTGTTTTTTAAACTGTTTTCAGTACTTATTCAGTAAGCCTCATTCGTAATTTAGGCTTAGTTTGGGATGTCTTTCTTATTTGTTCTTAAAACAGCTTTCTAATACAACTATTAACATTTTTGTACTAAAAAGTTATTTTAAGAAGCAATAAGAAAGCCGTCTCAAACGTAGCCTTAGTGTGCTAAATAGTGTGATATGGATCTGTTCCAACAGTTTCTTGATTATTTTTTCTCAAATAATTTCTTTGGTGTTGCAACTTGTTTGAGCTGATTTAAATTCTTTGCCCGTTATCATTATGCCTTCTCTCGGCTTGAGTTTGTTTAGCAAACTATTCATCACGCCTAGTCTGACTATTTTGGGTTCTGTTACAGATCTTTCATCAGTCCTTCCTATTTGGATTTGCATATAGTGTTCATTCTTGATAAACATTTTTGAACAATTTATGACATGTTTGCCTTCTAATCCCATCACCTTTCAAGTCCGACATATTCTCTGCCTTTTATGTTGTTGATACTTCTTTTCTATATGTTATGCGCATACCTAAGTCTTCTCAATCTATCTTAATCTCCCAACGCCTTGAGCCAAAAAAATGTTACTCGTAGACTTTTGGACTTTGGAGGTTCTCATTAGAATCGAAAAAATATACTTTTAAGGGTAGTTAGATAGTATACAAACAGTACCTGTTCTACGGGTGGCAACCTTATAGTTAATTATCTCTTATGATTATAAGAGAGCACTCTCAATTAAAGATATTGTGAGGCTTTATATTTGTTTTTATGCAAATTTCATCTTATGATTTGGTTTGATTTTTGTTGGGGGTTGGTTATAAATCTTTTTATGATCCTACGATTTCGTCATTTAGGGTTTGCCATTGGAGCCTGATCAAAATAGGATGAAGATAACTCTTGTTGGAAATTTTACCTTGGATAGCTTTGCTAGTAACTATAGAGATTCTCTAATCTAAAATATCACATATACCGATGTTGGAAAACATGAAAAGGAAGTTAATTAAGAAGGATTTAGAGGTCTTCTATCGGAGGCTAGACCTAAGAGAGATGATTATGATGGGTTTGATTGAATATTGTTGTCACCATGTATCGAGTCAAGTAGGGTTTATTTTGTTGGGGAATTGTTGACTTAAGGGTTGTTTTGTTATGTGGCAATCACTAATCTTGTTGAAAGACTTTTTTGATAATTCCACCAATCGAAATTCCCACCTAATCCTTTAGTTGTCATCGCTCTATATAAGCCTAATTCAATTCTCTTAATTAGGGAGTGAATTCAAGAAGAACACATACATTTTTAAGCCAATTTGAGAGAATAAAGGAGAAGACCAGGACTTGAAGATCTTCACCAAGGCCCATAATGAAATATTATCTTCACTGGTGAAAGACTTAATATCAATCAGTAGCTTGTGGCTACCTTAGATTGTTAAGTGTCTAGGTAGCGTCTCACGGTGTGGTTTGTATCACTTGGTACACTGCAAATTATGTTGATATGGGTTCTTGGTAGAATAAGCAACTTGACCATGTTATGTTGTGGATTATTTTTTTCCCTATGAAGAAAATATGCTTGCAGGTTTTAGTCGAAGCAAATCTAGTTAATTATAAGCCAACCATCCTTGAAATGAAGCTTTCAAAATCTAAATTTCTAGTGATAACCGAGTGTGTTTTGAGTTTCTGGCATAATTGTTGGCACTAATGAGGCTTTGATGGCACTAATGAGGTAGTTTTTAGATGTTTTGTTTGTTTGTTGGGTGGTATGGGTGACGTTATTAACCAAGGCTATATGAGGATATGCTAATCCATATGAATCATTGATTGTCAATATCGAGGCAATGGCGAAAGGCTAGTATCGATGACATCACGGAGCTAGGTTCTATGAGGGCCTAAGATGACCTTTTGAAATGTTGACTGTCATATCCTTGGTGATCCCTAAAGTTTAGGGATCAAGATGAGTGAGTTATGTTATACCTTAGTGTGTGCGACGGCAATGCTTGGAAACAGATCATCAATTTACCTTGCTTTATTCATTTTCAACCTCCTCATGAGGAGTGATTATTCTGTGCGGAGGCTGGACGCAGCTCTATGTGCGGAGGCGAATTAGGTACAGCCACATCAGTGGTACCAAGCAGTACCGAGCAGTACCGAGCCGCAGTACATAGTGAAAGGATGATATGGCTCATTTTTGTTGATCTCTAGATGACGTTCGACGTCTGCACAGAATAATTAATCCTCATGAGGGGATATATTTACGACAGAGGGGATGTTATTTCCCTTGATGTGGGGCTGCCTTAGCTTAATAATATTAGTATTTTTTTTTGCTTGTTTTCTTTTTTGTCTCTTGTCCTTGTTGGTAAAAATGCTTTTCCTACGGTATGTTATCTATTAGTTTTATCTACAAATTGTGAAGATGTACTTCCTTTAGTTTCATATAATTTTGAATAAAACTTGAAGGGTCTGTTTGGGACCATGTTTTTTTTGTCTAATTTTTCTGATTGTAATCATAATTTTGTTTGGCTATTACTTTATTGGTGCTTTCAAAATTTTTTTGTGATAGGAAGTTGCTTTTTACAGCAACTATTAAAAAAATTTCTTTACCCATAAGAGTTTTATAACAATCTTTACAAAAAAACTGCAGTCATCCCAAACAAATCCAAAATAATTTCATCTCAAGTGCATCGATTGGTTGTCAATATCAATGTATGTTTCATCCATATATTACATGGATGTAGCATCTCTTCTAACATATTTATAACTTTATTAATTGGGAGTAAATTTTTGTTCAGGATAGTCTTGTGTGTTCTTTTCCTCTAAATATAATAATAAAACTAGTGAAACATAATTTGTCACTAATTTTTCTGTTTCCATTGCAATACTTTGGAATAAATTAAAGCTGCATACATAAGGACTATTCGTTCAATACATGATATGCAAATTACAGCAGATCAAACAAATTTTTTAACCATTTTTTTACAGCATTGCACCATCGATTGTTTGTATCTGTTGATGATCGATCATGCTACTTGGAATTGTTTTAGCTTAATTTTTGAGCTTTATGCGCTGCAGATTACAAGAGAATGGTTAACAAGCAGTACATGGAAGGTGTAGAGCAATTAGAACGGTGAGGAGATTCTCTCCAGCAGCTCTCCCTTTTTGTTTTTGTGCTGGAGATAAGGTTCATGCGTTTGTTCTCTTGCCATACAGTTCTGATGTAAATTTAAACAGCATAAATAGGATAAATTATTACGTGCGGTCACTGAATGTAATTCAGAGGTAAATTAGGATATGTCACGTCATCATTTTGTTGTGTATCTTAACTGTGTATCGGATGATGTGACATATCCCGATTTACTTCCGGACAGTCTGATGACCACACATAATAATTTTTATCCTAACGGTTAGATAATTTATGGATTGGTATTAATACAAAGAACAAATTGGTTATGTTATATATATAAATAAGGATTTAATCATGAGATGAACTTACACTGAACTACTATAATCTCTCCTTAGTCGCTGCAAATTTAGTTTCAGGTTTGCTTTCTTTTTTTGGGGTTATTTGGGATTGTTGCAGATATATATATATATATATATATATTTGTAAATCCATGAAAATCATTACTTCTCCTTGAAAAATCTTAGAAGTAATAAATGTGGTATTTAAATGTGTGGAAAAAAGGCTGACCTGTTTGAAATAGTTGTAGTATTTTATAAATGTGATTGTAAAGTTGTATGAGAGAAGTAAATTTTTTGAAAAATGTTGTAAATATTATAAATAAATTAAAAAAAATGAACAATTGATTTTTGAAACCATCACATTTGTAATTTTTTTTGGTAAAAAAATATTTCTTATCACAAATTTTTTTTAGAAATTAGTGATAAAATAAAAAAAATAATCAAATATAATTATAATTGTGATAAGAAATAAAAGAAATGACTAATGAGAATACTATCCGTAAGTTGTGTTTTACAACCCGCAATCACTGACGAAGCAGCTTTTTATGGATTCTCTGATAATGCTGAAGAGTAATTATTTTTAGGCAACTTCTCTACCATGAAAGCTGAACTTTTATTTGGTCCGGTGAACGTACGCAACTTTACGTTCGGCCGCCAGTACAATCGCGTCAAGCGTTTTTATTATTTACCGCGCGCGCCGACAACCCGACCCGGAACAGACCCAAGATTGCTCGGTATTGCTAGGTATTGGTCGATTTTGCTCGGCAATAACCAATACCGAGCAAATACCTAGCAATACCGAGCAAATATCGAGTTGTACCGAATTTTTTCTAGCAATACCGAGCAAATACCTAGCAATACCGAGCAAATCCCGAGCAAATACCGAGCAAATACCGAGTTGTAGAAAAACTCGGTACAACTCGGTATTTGCATGGTATTGACCTTCACAGAGCGGTATTTCTCGTTTTTGCAAAGCAATACCGAGAAAATCGCGAACATAGCATTCCCTGGTTCCGGTCCGAGTCAAGTCGTTGGGCCGCGTGGTAAAGAGTAAGAGCACGTGGCGAGATGTTATTGGCGGCCGAACGTAGCTCTACGTCCGATCAGAGGACGTAATAATTGTTCATGAAAGCTCCTCCTTCCCTATCATTTTCTCTGCAATGCCCTCCCTCCTAATTTCTACTCACTTTCTTCTCCACCAAATCTCTTCTTTGTTTCTTTCTAACTTGCATGAAGTTTCATTAAAAATGCATAAATTAGTCTACTGGAAGAAGCTGAGCGCCCAAATCCCACATCAAAATACAAATGCCATATCGGAAACACGAGTAATTATACTTTCATTTTTTATAGATGATAATTGTCTCATCTACATTTTTCATAGTTTGGATAACAACTTGCAGGTGTTGGCTTGGATAGCCATAGTTTTTCATGCCTGTTTTAAATTATTAGCACTCTTCGAAGGGATGAAGCTAAATCTATCCAAACATGGGGATTGAGGTTGTATGGGGGAGAATTATCATCTATAGAAAATGAAGGGTAGAATTACTCGTGAACATTGGGTCTTGTAGATGGAGATTTAAAGTTCTACTTGGGAGTATGGTTATCACCAATGAATAAAGAGTGGTTGATGTTCAAAGGATTTAGGTTTAATTTGCGTCAACTTTTTTACTGCTTTTTAAAGTAGCTTTTTAGTTTAAAAATTTCAAATTAAAGCTTCATTTGGGACGGCTTTCTTACATCTTCTTAAAGTAGTTTTTTAGCACAAAAATTAAAATTTTTGTACTTGAAAGATGCTTTAAACAGCAGTAAGAAAGCCGTCCCAAACGAAGCATAAAAAAAATTATATTAAACAGCTGCTTTAAGAAGCAGTAAGAAAGCTATCTCAAACGACACCATAGCGACGATCTCAAAAGTAAGGCTTTGTTTCATAATGTTAGTGAAGAGAAGGCTATGTCCAAGATATGACAGGCACAAAAAGACAGAAATAATAGCAGTGACCCTACTTACAGAAATATTATCAGTTGAGGTTTGAAGGTGCCTCAAAAAGAAATTGGGCAAATGAGAAACAAGGAGAGGGAGGAATATGATTATTTTTGATGGAAAATGAGGGGAAAGGAGCTTTCAAGACATAAAGCCTCATTTTTTTCATTAAATTATCATCATCCTTCCAATATATAAGGTAAGGCAGCTATTATTTATGCAAAAGAAAGGAGGCTAAGATGACATAAATAGCCAAATTATTTTCTACCAAGCCTAATGTATTCCTAAATGTTATGAACATAAGCATAAAATAAAAAACAGGCAAAATAAGAAATATATAATGGCACTAAAATGTATCAGGCTAACTCGTGGAGAGGAAGAGGTTTGGAGTCTGATTCTGATCCAACAAAGTTGAAATAAGTTTAGTTTCACGCAATATGTTCTCAGTCATAACCTTAATTAGGTTAGCTCCAGTTGTGATATGTAAGGATGCTATCCCGACTTGAGCCAATCCGATTCTGGTTCAAGATCGGCATGAAGTCGTTTGATGCTATCCCAAGTTGAGCCAAATCAGATTAAGGCTTCGTTTGGAATGACTTTCTTACTGCTTCTTAAAGCAGCAAAAAACTGTCCCAAACGAAGCCTAAATTTTGGCTTGATTTGATCTCGATTTGATCCAACCATGACTCATTAACCTAATTTTCGATCTTTGAAAACAAATTCTAAGTTTAATATACATACTTATACTCATGTATATACATAAACATACATATGAAATGATTTTTATAATAACCATATAAGATAGCAACTCAGAAACATCTGTGAACCTTTAATTTGGAAGATTTATGACAAGATTTTCCAGCTAATATATTCCCTTACAGAATTTTCAAGACACGCATTAATCATTCCTGGAGTACAAATTCCTATCACCATCCTCCCATACCAAACATCAATTTTGTTAATAGAAAAGCCAAATCAAGCAAAGCTAGGCTGGCATATTATCAAAAGCAAAGTACCACCTTAAGCACACAATAAAATAAAACCACATTCACCAACTAGTTGTTTTCTACTCTAATATTCAGTTGGACAATAATAATATTAAATAAGATTTTATATAATAAATAAATAATAGTATATTATGTTTTGGTGAATAAAGATATTTCTTCAGCAAATCAGGGAAAATGGGAGAGAATTCAAGAGTAAAACCCAAGCTTCACCATGCAGATGGAATGCTTACACCTGATATTGTTTGCTAACATAGCAAGCAATCAGAATCCAACGTCATACATTTGGTGCCAGACACAACCATATTACCTACCATCTCCTCTATCTTCCCTCCCTCACACTAAATCCCACTTATCTACAATCATATATAACTAATGTATGAATGGCCGAATGCATGTGTATGAGAGAGAGAGAGAGAGAGAGAGAGAGAATGGAAGGTTTCTCCACTTATCACTTGGCCACCATTTTCCTTTTCATCTTCAACATTGCCGGTAAAGCTCGAGGACAAGCAGCAGGAGGCCCAGCTGCGGCGCCAGCTCCAGGGCCACCACCTCCACTTAATGTTACAGCTGTGCTGGAAAAGGGTGGGCAGTTCAGAACACTTATTCGGCTCCTACAATCGACACAACTCGATGAAAGAATCAGAGGCCAGCTTAACAATTCCAATGCTGGACTCACTCTATTTGCACCCTCTGACAATGCCTTCTCTAGCCTATCTCCTGGTACTCTCAATACTCTTACCAACCAGCAGCAGGTCACACTGCTCCAATACCATATCATCCCTACACTCATCACACTATCACAGTTTCAGACAGTAAGCAACCCTCTAAGCACACAGGCTGGGGACAGCAGCCCTGGGCAGTACCCGCTTAATGTGACGACCGCCGGAAACCAAGTGAACATCTCCACCGGGCTCGTTAACACTACGATATCTGGAACCGTGTACTCTGATAACCAGCTAGCAGTTTATCAGGTCGATAAGGTGCTTCTGCCACTTGGTATATTCAGGCCCTCAGTGCCTGCTCCACCCCCAAAAGCAGACAAGAATGCTTCAGCACCTACTGAGGGGCCTTCCTCGAGAGATTCTGCAGATGCTTCTTCCATCAATGAATGGAGACCCTCCAGATTAGGGCTTCCATTTGCTGTCGCTGTGAGTATCTTGTATTGGAGCTTTTGAATAGTTCATGTCATTACTCAACTTTGAATGTCAAAATATGTTATGTAATTGATGCCCCATGGTTCTCGACTTCTTGTATTTAGCAATGGAGAGTTTTGATTGATATTTGACGTACACACATGGTCTGTAAACTATATGGTTTCTTTGATTTATTGATTTATATTTGGCTCAGCGTAGTGTGGCTACTTCATCATATCATAATGTGTCATTTGCAGTTAACTGTGGCCATCAAGTGTATTGAGGAGATCAGGATAGCTCTCTACTCACCTTATATTCGCTTATGAGAAATTCTTCATTTGTTCGGAACATGGTTATGTAAGAAACATTTGTGTATATTAAACTATTAAAATTGTAAAAGAAAAAAAAAAGTTTTTTTAAACAGACATACAATCTTTGCATATTTAGATCATTCAACCCTTTCCCAGAAATGTTATTTTGAACAATAAAAAGCATTGGTATGTCATTTGGTCGATATCTAAACTAAACAACCCATCTTACCATAAAAGTACAAATTTTAGGAACTTTTTAATCCAGAGATAAAGTTCTGTTCGTTACATATCTAAACCAACCAGGTTTGAGGAATGACACAATAGGTTTTATGTATCACCTTCTATTTTGAAATATACATCGAATAAGTAGAAAATTCACAATCCTGAAAATACCCAGTCATCCACTACCTGCATGGAATAACCAGGCCTTTTAACCGCGTGTAGCGGGTATGATTACAACATGTATGTTCCAAGTAATAAACAATTCTACACGTACTATACCAAGTTTTGAAAACCCAATTGTTATAAGAGGTAGTTCATTTTGAGAATAGGTAAACCAAATAAGGCTAGAAATTAAGTTAAACCTGGCCCAAAACCACCTCTTTGTGGTTCCTAGAAGGAGCTCATCATTTAAGGGTGATAGTCATGTGAGTCACTTAAGCCTAACAAGAACTGGGTTTTGATGTCTAAGTAAAAGTATTTCATATATCAGAACATATCACGTTCTATGGTCGATGAATAAATCCAGCATCATATTGAAAGTTTTGGAAGATTCTGGATAAAATGAATAAAATAATAAGTTTTTGCCAAATAAGTTTTGACAGTCACAAGGAGTAAAATCAACGGCCAAGAAGAATGATGAAAAGTAACTTGAGCTCTACGATGAGAGAATACAAAACTCATGTCAGGGTTCCTTTTTGTAAATAAGTTTGAAACTAATATTAATATTTCACCAGAATATTCATCATATCAAGCATGAATCTCGATGAAATATTTGAGTTGAAAACTTTTAGAATTAAATTCAAGGCCATCCGATTTAGGCAATATTGTAGTCCAAATGATTATTTTGAAGGGACGAATGCAAATACACCAAAATTATTCTGATCAGAATCCAAATAATTTAAATAAAACATGTTAAAAACTTCGTGATACTAATTGAAGTAATAAACGACCTTCAAATTTTAAGAGCTCACAGTTAAAACAAGCATCTCGATGAGAAAAATTCAACGAGCCCAATTTCACTCAAACCAAATGTCAGTAATGTATGGCTGTCCAATAGAATATTTGAGAATTTTGACTAAAATAATCAAAATATCACAATGTAGAAAATTATATATAGACACCATTTTTCACATGAAGGGGAGTTTGAACTTTTCGCTGAGATGAGAGAGAAAGAGTTTAGGGATCTAATGAAGTCCAAAGGCTTACCGAAAATCACCATTAGCGACTATCATAGCTTAACCACTGTAGTCCAATTACTGCTCTCGACCATAATCACCTTCTATGCAACAACATCCATGTGCGACATCGCTAATAAGATCAATAAATACTGTCGATACTAATGTTGATGCCTATCGCCACAAACAATATTGACGCATGCCATCTCCAATAAGTTTGATGCACGTCATCGACATCAACTTTGATGCATGTCATTGCTAATAAGACCAATGCACACCATTGACACCTAAAGGCTTCGTTGATTGCTATTGCCAACAAAATTGACATATGCCATTGCAACAAGGCCGATGTTGCTGTCAATGCCAACACCAATGTCAACCAACTTCATTGTTCGTAGTTGTTAATAACATTGATGCAGGTATTGCCAAAGCCGATGCACATTGTCGTCACTAATGCTTACTTCGTGTCATACCATTGCCAACAACATCGACACATGTCATCACCAAAAAAGCTGACGCACACTATCACCAATAAGGTTCGTGCATGCCATCAACATCAATGCCGACTCTCGCCAACTATGTTGTATGCCGTTGCTGACAACATTGACACATGCCATCACCAAAAAGGTTGATGCACGTCACTGACACCAACATAAACTAATTGACTTTGTCACCCATCGTCACCAACAACATAAATGCACGCCATTAATAACATGACAGATGCATGTTGTCAACATCAACCCCAACCCATGTTGTTGCCAACTTGGATGTCACTCATCATCACCACCAGTACTAAAGCTTGATGTTAACATCAAAGCTTATGTTAAATTTATTGGTATTTGATCTTCTTTCCTCAAAAGACAAAGATCAAATAAGCCACCAACGATCGTTTGAGGACAATTCAAATGCCTCAAGACATCTCCACTTCACAGTAAAGCCCATTTTTCCAGCGCGTTTAATATATATTATATTGTAAATACAATTTCCCAGGTATCGTGAGAGAAGAGTAAGTCCGAATCTTATTGTCACGATTAGCTGCATCCTAGAGATTTCTCTTTAGGATTACCATATAAAATTCCTTAACACTCCTATACGACAACATTAAAACTTATGCTCAATTGGTCGCAGCTAGAGAGGAGAAAAAAAAAGGCGAGACGATGTGGAGAGACTGCGTGTCTAACCGTGGTGGACCAACGAGTCGCGCTCTAATCGCGCGCCTTCACCCTCCATGAATTTTAGCAAATATTTTTGCTTTTGGAGTTATATGCTAAAAACAGAGTTCAGTATGTAGACATAGTATTCAACTAGATAACATGATGAATCAACAATCAATGCAAAATCTCAGAAGTCCCCTTGCTATCAATTTATTTGACAATTCATTCGATCTTTTCAGTAATCCCAATACTTCTTCGAAATACATAACACTGACCATTTATTCATTTGGTGCGTTCTTGTTGATAATTTGAAATCCTTCACTCACATTTAACGAAAACAAACTAGGAAGAACCTAATGACTATGCCTCCAAATACGTCAACCATACACCATATTCCACCACATAACAAACAGGTCTGAGTAGCGTCACAGGAAAAACATATGACCAAGAATTCTTGCAAACCAGAAGCAATTTTATTACTGAATGAGGCATATTTACAATAATATTAAAAAAAAAAAAACAATATCCTTGCAAGATTCATCATGGAATCCCCTGCAGGTCTTCACACACGCCCATGATGAGCAGGCTTATGTATAGCAAACTCATCTTACATAAGAACAATCAACTAATCAAACCTTTCATACCAGCAAAACTCTATCTAGATTTCAACGGTCAGGCAATTTTTCACATAAACAATAATAGAAATGGGAAAATATAACATATTCACAAACTTCAACGAACTATAAGAGCAGTACCCGACTCTTCTGAGGTTGGCTGAAGTGCACTAATTTTGATGTTATACTTCTTAGAATTCCCGATCGAGCTTGAATCAGAGACATCTGACCCCATAGAAGATGAAGGCAAAGGTGAAACCTCCTCATAAGCACTGCCAACAAAGTTCCCACACTGGCGGCATTGCAGCTTTGTCTTATGCCTGAAGAGCCCCCATGAACGTGTTGAATTGAAGTATGGAAAACAACTAAGCTCATCAATCTGAGCAAACCTGCTCTCATCAATTGAATAGAAGGATACAATACCCTTCTTGATAGCTTTTCTATACTTTGTCCCAATGTTGGTAGTATTCCGATGTGAAGAACTCAAATTCAGTGAATAACCACAAGACCCACAACTACAAATTCATCAACTGCAATTAGCATTTATAATTTTATAATAGCATATGACATCAAGTAAAATAAAATACAAAAAAAAACTGAAATTTGTAGAAAGCAACGCTAATGCATGTGAGAGTTATTGGGTTTAGTCTCAAATTGCATAGATGAAAAATATATTAGCGTAGAAATACAAGTATTGGGCCTATATGTTGGATTAAGTTTTTTGATTAATGTGTGCTGATCGATTGGCTCAATTAAAGCCTATGATGCATAGACACGGATACGGTGACACAGATATGACACGACACGGACACGAGACATGTCAATTATTGAAAATATAGGATAAGGACACAATGTTAAAGTTTTTATATTTTAAAAATAGTGCATAAAAAATAAATAACTATAATTTTAAAAATAATTTAGAAATAATAAATCATTTAACAAGAATTTGTGCTTAAAATGATGAATATTAGGATGTCGATAGTCAGGCGTCGATGTCGTTTATCAGTCATCGAGAGAGGAGATGAAAATACCTCAACTGCCAAAGAGAAATGAAAGTGAGAATATTCGATGAATGAGGTATTAAGTGCGGACGATTGATTTGGTGTTATGGATATGAAAAAAAAAGGTTAGTTTTTATATTTTAAATAAGTAAAAAATTTAAATAAAAGAAATTATATTTTAAAAAAATGCATAAATATTTAAGATACGCTTTTCAGATATGTGTGTTCAATTCGAATTTAATATTTTTTTAATCGAACACATTATCAGCGTCTCCGACACTTGTCGAAGGAGTGTCGGTCACATGTCATGTCGGATAAGTGTCAGACACTGCATGACTCTATGAGGATAAGTATTGGTGCATCATAGATTAAAGGCCCCATTTTCACCATCCTAACAAGTAGAAGAGCCAATGGTTTGGTCGGTATCAAGTAAATCATTAATCATGTGATTTGTAGCTCTTATATCTTCTACCATGGTCAAGTCAAGTTAGAAAATAAATGACTCCTATGTAGGCTATACATGCTTTAGTGTACTCTTCATATATCATACTTGATGCTGTCAAAAATCTTACATTTAGGAGAGAGAGTCATGACATAGAGAGCTCTCACATGGGGGAGATTTGTTCAGACACACAAGAATTATTAGGTTTAGTAGCACTTCTAATAGACAAGAAATGCATTGGTGTAGAAATACTAGTGGCTCACCAATAAGCTTACAATTTTGGTTTAATGAGCGTCCATCAACTACTATAGTGTGCTTAATTTAGGCCCCATTGCCATTCTACCCACATAACAACCAAAACTAATTCATGAAAAATCATAGTTCAGCAACTACGGGGCTGGGGTGGGTTTGATCCAAACAATCCAAGCTCGCATCTTCTCCAATTATGGAAATATTTTCACATTTATGGGCTAAAATTAAAAAAATAATAATTAAAAAAAAGAAAAAAATAAAAAGGGCTAAAATTAAAAAAACATACTAAAACAACCATAAACTACCAAAATAAATTCGTACAAAATTAGAAAGTCCGCATCTTTCTCCATTTATTGAACCCTTTTTCGAAATTTCGAACTGAAACTCGAAAAAAAAGTAACCAAACCCTAATTTTCTTACAAATGCACTAGCTGCTTATGCGACGCCCACTCAACTTAGAACCTACAAGGTAAACTACCCAACTAAAGCATCAACGAAACAACCATAGTTCAGCAACTAAAAAACAAGCGTTTAGAACCAGGTGACAGAACCAGTCCAAAATATTCTTTGAAACAAGATAGAATTGCAAGAGAAAGACGAATACCTATAGCTCACATCCCTCATCGACGACAGCCTCTGCATACTCCCCGACGGCGTACCTATCCCATACCCTCCTTCGAGAAACATCACCAATCCAAGAGAGAGAGAGAGAGAGAGAGAGAGAGAGAGTTGAGAAAGAGAGAGCGGAAGAGAGAGAGTCGGAAGTAGACGAAAAGAAGGGGGGCAGAACCGACTGTGAGCGCTCTCAATCACCGCGGCATTTTTTGCACGGCAGTCCTTTCTAATTTGTTATTGTTTTCGAGATTACGACAGCGCAAAAATATATTTACATGGATGTGAATGGCCGGCGATCCCTAGTTCCAAAATCGAAATTTTAAATTTTTTTTGCAATATGTATCATTATTGTTATAAAAAATAAATTTATCAAAATAAATGGGCGAGTCAAAGTGATCCTAACTGGATTTATTTGAGATGGCGGCAGTTTGTTAGGAAATTAGAATTGTAATAGTTATAAATGGACTGAATAATACATTAATATAAGAGTATTTATTATTTAGTATATGAGTAAAAAATCTAAAAAGTAAGAGTATATTTAATGATAATAATATATTATAATGAGAAATAGGATAAAGTTTTGTTATAAATATTGAATATATATAGTAATAATATTGATATGATGATATAATAATTTAAATAATTTTATTTTCATCATAAAATTAATTGGTATGTTGTGTAGCCTTTAATGAATTAGATCAATCAATGGTGATCCTATCTAATATTTATTTGATATATTCTCGACAGTCGTAGTCCTTCACTATTTGGCACCACATCGAACAATATTAACTCTCGATAAGCATCATTGCATATGATTTGGCACCGCTATCGACTAATATTGACTCCTAGCATCATATGTATCCATATGTCTATTATTAATTTTTGTTATTGTTCATCGTCTTATGCCCATCAATGACCGATGCCAACATTTTTTGCTCTCCAACTTTTAATGTTTGTCATATAATCTCCATTGATATCTAATATGGCCATTGGGCACTGTTATTAAAAGCCCCATACAATTTAAGTTTTTATAGTATAATCCCATTGTCGCTCATCATGTGAAGGGCAAATCATGGTGATCAATAGCAATAAGTGAAACTTTTTTAACTAGGCTAGTCCTTTTTTTTTTCTTAAACTAGGGTAGACCTTATAATACTTTCCTTTGTAGGATTTTTAGGTCAACAATTTATGTTTGATATGTGTGCATCTCTCTGTGTTTGGTGGATATTCTTACTAGCCAAATAATGATCTTAATGGACATGACAAACAATAGCTTAGACCATTTGGGATCCAAATGATCAATTGCAATTCTAATGTATTGAACATTATTGATAAGAACTCATAGGCATGGAATAATCTCAATTATTCATAAGTTTTAGCATGACTTAAAGAAGCATATCTATGACTTTGTTTGAGACAACATTCTTATTGCTTTCTAAAATATAGTTTTAGTACAAAAATTTCTTGAACCAAAAATTTTTGTAAAAGAAAACTGCTTTAGAAAATAGCAAGAAAGTTGTCCCAAACGAAGCCTAAGACATAAACATTTTGTATTATATGTTTTAATTAGTGGATTTGATTTTTCATTTCCTAGCTTGTTTTTATTTATTAATTTTTCTCTTACATCATCGAGCATGTTAGTATAGAAGCTAACCTGAATTTAGGTTGGGTAGGAATTTACATTTGTTGGATATTCAAAGTAAACTAAGATGGGGCTTGCATATGACTTGAGTTTTGATTTAGCGGGTTTCTCGACTTTATGATAATCCTAACTATTTAGGATGATGCTTACATCCATTAGAAGACCTAAGTTCTGATTTAAAAGATTTGTTAGTTGTCCCATCCATGTTAATTAGGTATAGGGATTGCATCCATTGGATGAACCCCTTTTTTTTGGTTTAATTGGGTATCTTAGCTTTATGTCAGTTCCATTAATTGGAGAATATTATCTTAATGATATGTTTGCTTGTAATTTTTTGGACATGTCTTCAAAGTTTGCAATAAATATGCTCCTTTATTTTATTTGAAAATTTTGATTATTATCTTAACCTTTGTCTTTTTTATTTGGAGATATAAGAATATTTTATAATTGTAAGTTGCACTAACTTGGAAATAAATGAAAGTTGTATTAAATCAAATTTGTAAACTTTACTTAGGTATTGGGGTTTCTCTGGTGTTCTTACTAGATAGATATTTATCATTATTATTAGTCTTATCCAAAATATCAACATACGACTTTATCAATCCTCTTTTTTTATTTGTATCTATTGACAACTTCATTAGGCATTGAAACAATTTTATGCAAACCTTATTACAAAATATCCATGCTATATTTGGTTTATCAAGTTTTTTTACTAATCCTTTGAGATTAATTTTGTTTGTCCGTATTTTTTTTGTTCTTTTTTACCCTATTTTATATATATCAAAATCATCTATGTGTACCTTATCTTAGTAGATGCTAGTCCCATCATCATCCGTCGCAATCTATCATTTCTAGCTTTTCCACTCAATTATTAATATTTTCATTTTTGGCATGCTTAACTTATTTATGAATGAATTCTTTATAGCCCAAGGTAGATCCATATATATTATAGCTAAATTATTGAAATTTCATAAAAAATGTTTATTTCACTATGATATTCTCTTATTACATAATATTATCGTGGCACTTTTTTCATTTTGTCCAACTTGATTTTAATCAAAGAAGTACAATATGTGATAGGCTATTATTAAGGATTTGAAATAGCCTACTTGTGAAATGATAAGATAACAACCTCCAGGATGATTCATTCTAATAATGGCCCAAGAAGAGTAATAAAGTAGTAACAAGTTAGTAACTAATGAATTAATAGTCTTTTACATCAATAAATGAGCCCCATTTGGAGAAATTACAAAGAATGAGAAAAGTCTCTCCCCAAATATATGTTCCTCCTTTTTATCTCCCGACCCAATTTTTAAAGTTGTCAAAGAACTCGAATCTATAATATATTAAGAGTTGTCAGTGAACTTGAATCCACCATTTATCATTTGCCCAATAATGGGTTCATAATAATTGTTTTGTTGTTGTACTTCTCCCTCTTATTGTCACCATTGATCCATTCCACCAAATTATTGCCATTAATCATCCTGCATCAAATCAAGAACCACCATTGTGAAAGAACACTAGCCATGAGTCTCTACTGATTATGCATTTCCATTTCTAAAGATCACGAATCATATTTTGATTGAAGATCATGTCTTCATGCCAAATCTTCAATCACATTATGTTTTGCATATATTTTCACTTGTGTAGATCCATCACCCCCTTCCAAAGTTAATTCCACAAATCCTTTCACCTCCGCGCTGGTGCCAATCTCTATAAATTCTATCATCCCATTTCTTAGTATATGTCCCAAACCCAGATTTGAACTAGTTAGTCGTTTATCTACTATCTTCATCTTAGATCCCACCCACTAATGATCGTTGATCATCCACTCCTCCCTTTAGATATCCCACAAGATCTATCAATATTCATCTCGTAATCGAATTTTGCATATCAATCCTTCCACCATTGCATCCTATATCTATGGTCATGTTCCAAATCTTGTGATGTTGTTCATTCCACTATCATCTCTTCCCACATCTAAATCTACCTTTGCCTGACCATTATCCAATTCTCCCTCACACCAACCTCAACTCTATCCATGATCTTCTCTACAAGATCATCAATATTACATTTGTAACATCACTTCATCTCATCTTTTACCACATCAAGATTTAAAGATTTAAAACTCGGTTCATTTAAGAGCCCTTCACAGATCCTTCTCATTTTAGATAAAAAATACTTATCACCTCCCATGCTATCGATAACCACTTGGTCGACTTGACAAGAAGGTTGGTTTGAAGGTAGGTGGCAATAGGGATATGAAAAAGACTCAATGTATAGTGATATATTAATAAGCTTGTGGATGATTAATTCTTAGATTAGACTAATAAGAGTGGTTAAAGAGTAAGAAGTTAGTTATCAATGAATTAGTAGTCTTCTATATCTATAAAAATATCATTTATTTGTAGATATTAAAAAGATTGAAAATAATAAGGTAAGTCTCTCCACAAATGTCTCATGCTCTCTATTTAACAACCCGATTTTTGGAGGTTCTAACATACTTGAATTTGATGCTTATCTAAAGTTGCTAGGAAACTCGAATCCACTAGTTTTACGATCCCAATAATATAGTCATAATAATTTTTCTTTAGTTTCACTACCTTTTGTTGCCATCATCAATCCATTCAACCCAATTGCTGACATCAATCAATAACCATTATTGCATAATACCTACACCCATGGGTCACCACTAATTTCACAATTTTGTTTTATTTAGATCAGTAAGCTTATTTCAATTTATGATCACATCATTGCTCCAAAGCTTCAACTTCTATTATATTTACTACAGGAAAATGCACTATTACTGGAGGACAAAATCTGCCGGTAACACAAGAAATATGTCGGAAAATCTTTATTTTCGGCGAAATACCGGCGAAAACTGTTCCAACGATAATTCGTGCGTCGGAAAATCTATACCGGCATAAGATTTCTGCCAAAATTTTTTTTGGCAATTTTCTGGTGCAAATTTTGAGAAACCATCGTCTTTTAAGGTGGTAAATTACCAACGTATTTTCCTGTAGTTTTCCAGTGGATACTGTACGCTGGAAGAACAAACAGATAATTCGCCACTCCCGGTCGTCACACTATTAACGGTAGAAATTACCGGCGGATATATAACCGAAAATTCCTGCGCAAATGTACGCCGGAAATAATGATTTAGTTTCATCGTATTGTGTTGCTGGAGGTGTTTCCGACGGATAATCCACCGAAAACCTGTAACAGATAGAAAAAAAAATCACATGACTTCTAAAATTAATTTCCATAAACCAGAATAGAAAAAAAAATGCAATACTATATACATTCAAACATCCAGCTCTAATCAAGAACATCACGAAACATATACTCAATAATAAAAATAAGAATAATATCATCAACAAACATCAATAATTATATAACAATAAACAAGTGCATATGTCCCTAAAACAAACAAGTAAACATGTCCACAAATCTTATTTTCCTCGTACTATACTCGGGTAGTTAGCAAAATAGACTTGACTTATCTGATAGCAATGATGAATGTGTCAAACTTTGAA